ACCACGCTCTGGCTCACGCAGAAGTGACCCCCACCCATCCCAACACTGCTCCTAGAACGTTCCTGTATCTACAGTCCTGTTCCTGTATCATCCACAATCACCTAGAGATGACAACCTTAGCCTTAGGGTTTCAATAGCTTTATGCTATTTACAAAGCAAAATGAAAATTTAAAAACTGTTATGGCCTTAAAAATATATATTGAGGGACCAGCAGGTGGTGTGATGGTTAAGGCACTGGACACTCCCACATGGTCAACCATGGTTCAAGTCCTGGACCTGGTGGCTTGCTTTCTCACTTTCCCTCTTTCTCTCTCTCTCTGGACAAATTAAAAATAAATGACTGAATAAATAAAATAAAATAAATAATTTATATATAAATTTTTTAAAGGAATGACTCCAAATCTACTGCTTCTTAGGGGGATTTCTTTTATGTGTATGGTGGTTTTCTATTTCAACACAAAATGGTTCCACTTTCTCTTAAAATCTTCTTGTAGGGCCCACCGAAGTCTGAACCTTTCTCTTGGTGGCTACCCACAAGTTTGGGAACAGCACACTTAAGGAAAGTCCAAGTGTTCCACGTAAGAGTACCAGAGTTTGCTGTCTCCAGAGACCATTTCCCTCATTCTCAGTCCCACAGCAGCAGGGGTAGCAACAAGGAAGGACAGCAGGAGTGGAAATTAATTGGTTGGGTTTTCTTACCACTTACTGCTCCAGGCAAGACCCCCCTCCCTCCCTCCCTCCCTCTCTCTCTCTTTGTATAAGCACCTTCCCCCATCATTACTTTACCTACAGCATTCATGTGTGACATGAAATTGTTTCATTTCTGACCCAGATTCTGACTTGGAGTATTAAATCTTCCCATACTCTACATTTCCCCATATTTCACCAGGAGGATTATAAACTTATCTGAAATGGTAGAAATTCATTTTGCTTTCAGTTCCTCATCCTGCTGTACTCTGCTGAAAAGCAGTACATAATGAGAAGTGAGAGCAGCCTGGCCTGATGCCCAGCTAGGAGCAGATAAGTTCACCTAAAAAGGACTTGATGCTCCAAATAGCAGACACTGGAAAGAGAGTTGGAAATGAGGGACAGAGGTTCTGGAAACATGCCTATGGGCAATAATGAGGAAGGCAAACTCAGCCTAAGGGTGGGACCTCTGCCCTGCCTTTGTCAACTTGATGCCTCATTATCTTCTCCATCTTCCCTAACCTCAGTCCACTCAACTAGAAGGCACTGTGGAAAAAGCACTTAAGATAGCAAAGTAACGCAAAAATTCTTTTGAGGGCCAAGTTAGGCACTGAGGGGAGAAGGGGTTAGAACACTTAGTGTAGAGCATGTTCACTGGCAGGGAAGGTCAGGGTTTGGGTGGCCAGAGATCCCTGTAACTCTACACATTTCTTTAAATTTTGCAATAAGGCGCCTGTGCTTGCCAGAGACAGGAGAGAGAAAAAGAGAGAAAGGGAAAGTGAGAAATCAGTCCCTGGGGGGACAATCACACCACAATCCCTTTCTTCTTTTTTCTTTTGGAGAGGTTTTTGCTATAGGACGCGTGAGCTCGCCAGACAGACAGAGAGACAGGGAGATAGAAAGTGAGAAATCACCACCTAGGGGGATGGCCATACCACAATCCCTTCTCCTCCATTCTCCTCTTGGGATCTTGGGCACGCACACACACGCGCCAGCATGAGTTTAAGCCACCAAGTTCGGAACCAAACCATGGTCGACTACATGGGAGTCCAGCGACATAGCCATTACGCCAACTACTGGTCCCAAAGACAACCACACCACAATCCCTTTCTCCTCTATTCTCTTGGGATTTTGGGCACATACACCACACACATGCACCTGACATATTTTTCAAGCCACTGGGTCCCAGACTCAAATCATGCAGTCAGCCATGTGAGACCCACTGCCTTAACTTGCACAGCACCTTCTGGCCCTGAACATACAATCTTCCATCTTCCCCATCTTCAACTGTTCTCCATGATTCACTTACTCTCGCAGGCAAGCTTATTTTTCTACTCTCCTACCCTTCTTTCCTTTTCCCCTAACTAACAATCTGAAATTACTTTCTCTTTTCCAAACGTACCACACTTTCAAACCTCCAAGCCTCTGAATGTACTATTTGCTGTTCCCTTACCTGGTATATCCTTCCCCGACTCCTCCATGTAGAAAACTCCTCACGTGGGACCAGCAGTTGGCGTAATGGCTATGTTGCTGGACTCCCATGTAGGCAACCACGGTTCGAGTCTCAGACTCAGCGACTTAAACTCACGTTGGGCGCATGTGCGTGCGTGCCCAAGATCCCAAGTGGAGAAGGGATTGTGGTGTGGCCATCCCCCCTGGGGGGGGTGATTTCTTGCTTTCTGACTCTCTGTCTCTCTCTGCCTTTCTGGTGAGCACACACACCCTATAGCAAAAAATCCCTCAAAAAAAAAAAAAAAAGAAAGGCAAAACAAAACTCCTCACATTTCTTCATAACTTTGGTCAAACGTCCCTTTCTCTAATGCCCCAATCAGCGTGGTCACTGTACCCAAATCTTTCCTTTGCCAGAGAAGTGGTTAAGAGCACAGCCTCTGGGGTCAGAGAGACACAGCCTGAACTTTGGTACTTCAGTTTAATACTGAAGTCTTGAGTAGCTGTGGTGCCAGCCTATAAATGGCCCAAAGTGATCGCCATGTCCTGGCACTCACACCCTGTAAGTCTCTCCGCACTTGGCATCAGGGTTGGGCTGTGTGACCAACAGAAATGGCAGGTTACCTGATACGGCTTCCATCTCGGCTCTCCCGCTCTACTTTCTCCCTCAAGCTACTTGCCATGGAGGAAACCAGCTCTCATGTCAAGCAGCCCTATCGGGAGGGCCGTGTGTGAAGAACCAAGGCCTGCCAACAGCCGTTAGTTTGAAAGCAGATTATCAGAGTCTCAGAACCTCAGACGCCCACAGTCTCAGCTAACCCTTCACCGCCTTGTGAGAGACCCTATGCCAAAACTACCCAGCTGAGCTTCTAGATTCCTGAGCCACAGAAACTGTGAGATGACAAATATTTGTTTAATGTCACTAAGGTTTAGGGTAGTTTTTTACATAGCAACACATAACTAACAGGTCTGGAAAAAGATGGAAACAGCCCAGAATTTACAGTAAGAAAGTACAGGTTCAAGTCAGGCCATAGTGCTTCCTAACAAAACAGCACTGGGTAAAGCACTGAATTTCCTGAGTGTCAGTTTCTCTACCTGTAAAATGAGAAAACTAAACTGGGATTACAGTCATCCATACTACAAAGTAAATAGCCTACCATAAAACTAGAATATAAGATAACTGAGCTAGAAATGAAGTCTACTGCAAAAACAAATCCGATCCCTAAAGTACTACAGGTTCAGAGACCCTGTCTAAAATAAGCAGAAAACGCACCTGGGGTCATAAAAAGCAGCTCTTCATGTTTTTTTTTTTCATTGACATAAGCAATCAGACTTACTTTTTTTTTTTTTTTTTTTTTTTTAAGAAACAGGTTTTTTTTTTTTTTTTTTTTTTAAGGAACAGGTCATTCATTTATCTTTATTTATTTTTGTGTATGTGTGTGCATGTATGTTTTTGCCGTAGGGCATGTGCGCTCACAGAGAGAAGAGAGAGAGACGGCCAGCCTGATCATGGGCACGTGCGTGCCTGGCATCTGAGAGGCCTCCAGATGTGAACCCAGAACCTTCCTCTCTGGGTCAGCTTTGAAGAGTATGGCATTCTACTGCTGCGCCACTATCCAGCCCCAGAGCAAAATCTTTCATGCTTCCCTAGATCCCAGGCCTGGCATTGGAATGAGGTACATCAAGTTTGCTATGAATCAAATTGTTCTCTTACCCAAAATATGGAAGTACCAGCTCTGCTGCCAGACTCCATTTAGATGTTTTTAAGGAATAAAGGAAACAGCACACTGGGACACACTACTGTGGCACAGCTGTCCTTGAGTAGTAAAGAGAAGATGAATGCCTAAGTGGCGAAGACAGAATCCTAAAGGCTTAAGCTTTATTAAATTAGAATTTTCAGCTGCCTCTATTTGTACTCATTGTAAAGAACTGTATGGGTGGGGCCAGCAGGTGGCATGATGGTTAAAGGTGCTGGACTCCCATCTGGTTGATCGAGGTTCAAGTCCCAGACCTGGCAATTTTCTTTCTCTTTCTCTCTCTCTCTCTCTCTCTCTCTCTCTCTCTCTCTCTTTCTAGCATGCACATATGTACAGTAAATTTTAAAATAATAAAATTAGGGGCTGGCAGGTGGCGTGGTGGTTAAGGGCACTGAACTCCCACATGGCCAACTGTGGTTCAAGTCCCAGACCTGGCAGCTTGTTTTCTCACTTTCCCTCTCTCCCTCCCTCTCCTTCTCCCCCCTCCACTTTCTCTCTCTCTCACTCTGGTCAAATTAAACTAACTAAATAAATAAATAAAGTTAATAAAATATTTTTAAAAATAAGAATAATAAAATTAAATAAATAATTCTTAAATTTAAAAAAAAAAAAAGAAAAGAAAAGAATTGATGAGTAATCAGATCTCCTCAGGAAGTAAGCCTCTTCTAGCCAGGCCACTGAAGACATCATCTGTCTAGGTAAGAGGGCTCTGGCCAGGCTGCCAGGGCAATGTGGGCTCAGAATGGACCAGAAACACTACCTCTCTGACCTCTTCCTACCTTCCAATAACCACTGACTACTCTGACACTAAAGCCCAAAGGGAACTAAGTTGTCCCCAGGTACTGAGGGTTTGATCACTGCTTCAAGGCGCTGGCCCTGTTCTCCACGATGTGTGTCTACAGGTGACCGTGAAGACATGTGCAGGATCCACGCTGCATGTCGCACTTTCTCCCCTCCTGGGAAGATGTCTAAATTCGAGCCCACAATGTTCCCTGACACTCCACACACATGTGTTTTTGTGAGTGAAGTACACACTGACCACAAATATTCTACCACTTGATTCTTTACAGACAGACATGCACACACTGAGCGAGTCAAGGTACTTACACATAGAGATCCATAGGAAACTCCTTCATCATGTGTGTTACAATAAACTCTACCATCAAATCTGAAGGGGGAAAGGAAAAAATTTAATTAGAATGAAGTTCATTCCTTGCCTTTGAGTTGGAAAGAAAGCTTCTGAGTACACCTTACACACACGCTGAATGGCATCCACTCACCACATCTATATTTGTGTGCACTTTATTTTATATAAGGCTCTTCTGTAACACTGTTCACCACCTGCCACTTGTAAAGCAACAAGGAAATTAATTCGCTCTCTCACTTCCAGGAGGTTACCTTGACCTGCCAATAAATTCAGGTGCAAGGAAGATTTCACTGTACAGACGTCTCATATCATGGTACTAATGCAAAATGCCAGGGGGAAATCACATTCCGAGAGCAGAGCGATGAGGCAAGCGGAAAAGAAATCACGGATCACACGCATGTGAGCAGAGACTCAGCTCTCAACTCTCGGCCTGCCTCATCTCAACACCACATTCGGTTTCATAGATATTGACTGGAATGGTCCGTGGGGCTTCGGGTCAATAGAGGCTTATTATGTAGCCTTAATTACTGTTTCTAAAATCAAGTAGATTTAGAAACTAGGGCTGAATAGCTAAATGAAATGGGATTAAGACTTCAGTTGATTCCTCTGAGGAAAATGCCGAGTTCTGAACAAAATTACCCAAGATACAGTCCCCTACCTATAGGCTCTGTCACTCCCATCTCAGCTTAATTTACTCAGAGGAAGTGCTGTGTGTCTGAACTTGAACTTCAAGCCTCCTAGCCGGCTGACACATCAATTTGGACCAAGAAAGGAAGGGAAGAATTTGAGAACTTGATCAGGAGTAAGGTATTTTATAAGTTTAAATCATGTATCAAGTTTTGACAGCCATTCATCTCCCTGGGAAGACTTTCTTCTTTGAACAGTACCCTTTTATTGAGCACTTTATTTACTGGGGTTGCTTTACCAAACACAACAATAAATACAATTTCTTAGGATGGGGAAGAAACATAACTAGTAACTTCTTCTCCAAGGAAGAAACACATCAATCAAGATTTATTCCTCATCTCTTCTTCTTTTTTAAGTTTATTTATCTACTTCTTTCATGAGCAAGAGAGACAGAGTAGAAGAGAGACGATACCCCCCAGGGTCCCAGTGTGAAGATCCACCCCCAGCCAGCCCCAGATCATGCCCAAAGTTCTCGGGAAAATCTCCAGAAATGAACCTGGAACCCCGCCATGTGGGTCAGCCTTTATGCGCTCCACCACTCTCTCAGTGGTCAGCCCTACTCCTCATCTTGATCATGAAGACTTATCATTACCTCAGAGAAATGCCTTTTTTTTTTTTTTTTTTGGTATTTCACCTTGGAGCACATGCACTTACCAGAGAGACACACAGAGAGATGGAGAGAAAGTAAGAAATCACCCCTGAGTGGGGACAGCCATGCCACCATCCCTTCTTCTCTAGGAGTTTTTGGGCACACACATATATGTGCCTGGTATGATTTTCAGGCCACCAGGTCCAGGACTCAAACCACAGAGTGGGCCATGCGGAACCGAGAAGCTTTGACCTCCATGTCACCTGCTGGCCTGAAAAATGCCAATTGTAGTGAAACTCACTCACCCAGTACTGCACATACAAGAGGACGGCAAGGAAGGTTCTTGTCTGCCGCCTTCTTCCTGTGTCTCATCGGCTTCAGAGAAGGAGGAGGAGAAGAAAGGAAATTAGGAGACACCCAAACTGACATCAATGGCCCATCGTGGTGTTTCTCAGGAGAATAAAACCACTACTACAGGGATGCTACCTGTTCTTTCCCTTTTTCTAGTGGTGGGGCTGGGGCTGGGGTAGTGTGGGAGGACTGCCCTGGTGCAGGCAGGGAGGACATGTGGACGTGCAGGCCTGGGACAAAACACAGTTCGCAGCGAGACAGAAGCCTCAAAGGGTGCTTGAGCACGTTACAATGGGAGAGGCTGTTGCCTTTTCACTTTGACTTTATCCACACAAGTGGCATTACTAACAACAAAAGCAGTACACTGGTATTTTCCTTTGACAATAAAAGTTGAGAAAAAGAAGTGAAAGTGGCAGCTACAGAGGCAGCTACAGTGGCATTTGAAACAAAAGAAAGTTTCAAATCTAAACCTCAGTGTGGACATTTCTAATATACCTCCATGCTTTAAGAAATTTCCTGACCTTCCACCTTCGATTCCCCCACCCCAGACAAATAAATCAAAGCAGTATGTGATGTTAGTGAATGAAAGCTCATACTACATTTCAAAAACAAAATGTAGCGGGGACCTCCTTGTTGGCCTCTGAGCTATCAGCACACTCCAGCGTTACTGCCATGGGTGTATGGTTTGGGAGCTTTCTATCCTCTCTGGAGTAAGAAAAAGCTCATAGAAAAAATCTCAACACAGAACACGGGCACAGGCCTGTTGAACAGCAGTCATGCAAAGCCCTTTGACACAACTCCCCACCCACATTTGTTCTAGTGGGATCAATTTATCCTCCCCTAACACACAGAAAATGTCCTCTAAGAAGAAAAAGTCATACCTACCATTCTATGCAAGTTTACTCGAAAATTCATGTTGTCATCATGCAAAAATGCATTGGCATACTGATCCTAATAAAAACAGAGGGAAAAAGTAAGGAGTAGGGTCTGTACTTAAGTAACTCAGTTTGGGGGCCAGCAGGTGGCATGGTGGTTTAGAGCACTGGACCCCCACGTGACCAACCACGGTTTGAATTCTGGACCTCGCAGCTTGCTTTCTCACCTTCCCTCTCTCTCTTTCTCTCACTCTGTCTCTCTCTGTTCAAATTTAAATAAAGTTAAATTTAAAATAATTTAAAAAAAAAAAAAAAAAAGGAAAGAAAAGAAAAGAAAAAAAAAAAAACACCAGCAGTTGGCATGGTAGTTAGGTGCGCTGGACTCCCACATGGCAGAACACGGTTCAAGTTCTGGGCCTGGCAGCTTACTTTCTCTCTCTCTCTCTCACTCACTCTGTCCCACTCTTGTCAAATGAAAAATAAATAAATTTAAATAAGTCTTAAAAAAAGAAACTCAGTTGTATCCTATCACACTTCCTGCAAATCCTAAGACTTAGAACTGCTTTCAAAGATCAGGTGGAAAGCTAACAGCAGGAGCCTAGAGTCTATATCAAACCCTCCCTAAACATGAGAGCTTACTTGGGTATAATTTCCCAGTGTATCTCTAACTGGTCAAAAATCTTGAAACAAAAACAATAAAAATCAAGACACAGGGACTTGCAGCAAATGCTGAAAGAACTCTGTTTTGCTCTCCTCTCTTCCTTCCCATCTGCCCAAGGAGCCTGCTCTGTGGGTGACAGCTTGAAGGTTTTCATAGGGGCTGCAGGATGCATGTGCAGGCTCCACATGAGGCGCCAGGAACATGAAGGGGCCTGTGCTCTGCTGGGATGCGCTCGGCACAGCAGGAGACTGCTAACACAGGCAGCGTGGCAGCGGGCAAGCCCGTTTACCCCTGGCTTCGCTGAAGACTGATGGGAAATCAAAAACCTCTCACCACAGATTGGTAATAAACCTCCCTTGGCCCCTTCCCAACACCCTTCTGAAGATCTGACATGTGTGAGATTCCAATTATTAGGACTGTTACAATTCATGAAAAAAAATTCTTTTAAAGAATTTTTTTGGAAAAAAAAATTTTTGAGGGAGTTTTTTTTTTTTTTTGAGAGGTTTCTTTTTTTTTCTTTGCTATAGGGCATGTGCACTTGCCAGGAAGACAGAGAGAGACAGAGAGATAGAAAGTGAGAAATCACCCCCCCCCGGGGGGGGGATGGCCATGCCGCAATCCCTTCTCCTCCATTTTCCTCTCGGAAATTTGGGCACACACACACCCACACCTGGCATCAGTTTCAAGCTTCGAATCTGAGACTTGAAGCACAGTCGACTACATGGGAGTCCAGCACCTTAACCACTATGCCACCTGCTGGCCCCAGATTTTCTTAGAAAGATTCTGAAAAGCAATTACACCAGGCCTACTGATAATAAGCAGTTCTATAACCAGCTATCCCTCACCTTGCAAAAAGGAAGTCATCTTTCCACAGAGATCACAAAAAGAGAAAGACGGTCAGAGATCTCTGCCCCAAGTGGGCCACTTTCACTATTTTTCTTAAGAGAGAACAGAGTAGAGTAAGGAATACTGCAGGGGGAGGCTGAAGCTATAAATTTATCATAGCTCTAAAGTGGCTCAAGCTCTGCCTTATTTATGGGTTACCAAGACTGTTGAGTTTGGGCCGTTACTCCAACCCAGAGTGCCTTCCTACACAGCTGGCGTTCCTTTCCCCCTCAGCTTTCTTTACCAAGCTGCAATCAGCCCAACTTTACTGTTCCCAGTTGCCCTCTTTTGGTTCTTCTCTCCATTCCTCTACCCACAGGAAGCCTAAGGTCCTTTTTTATTGTGCTAAACGAAAAAACACCATCAGGAGCAGCATCAAAGGGGCAGGCTTTTTTTTTTCTTTTATAAACAAGAGGCAGGGCCTTGCTGTGTTGCCCAGACTGGTCTTAAACTCATGACTCTCCTGCCTTAGCCTCTCAGATACAGATGGATGCCACTGCACCCAGCTGATGCAGGAGGTTTTTGGTTTTTTTGGGTTTTTTTTGGTTTTTTTTTTTTAATCAAATGATGTATGTCTCTCATTTAAAACACTTACAAGAGCTGTCATTTACCAGTTCTCAATTACACCAATTCTTTATTCTTTCTTTTTTTTTTTTTTAAATAAGAGTAGGCGCACAATGGAGAGGGAGGGGAAAAGGGAGAGAGTGAGAGAGACAGGTATTTCTGACAGGGTCTCACCACATGACAAACAGGCCCCTGTCCCAAGCCTCCCCTTAGCTAGGACCACAGGTGCACGCCACCATGCTCAACCTGCTCTAAGTTGGCCTAGGAAATGAAGCTGAGCCTCGCTGCAGCCCTAGCCACCATGGACTGTGCTTCCCCACTTGCACCGCCACATCACAATTCATTGTAACTCCTCCAGTGGATGCTGATTGAGCCTCGACTCTGTAAGAGTCGCTGAGAAGACAGTGGTGAAAAAACCAAGTAGTTGCTATCAGAGCTGCTATCTACTGAGAGGAGACAGAAAATATAAGGGGAAGCTTTTCTCTTCCAAGCTGAGGTCCCTCAAGGCCAGAAACAAGCACTATTGGAGGGAGGGGGTAGGAAAAGACAGCACTGTGTACAAGATTAACTAATACCAGAAGGTTAGTGATACCTACCTCTGCAATACAAGTAAGGATAATCAAACAAAGTTTGCCACTGTGAAGTCTGTGTTCATCTATAAAGGAAAACAAAAACAAAAACAAACTTCTCTGTAAATCATCCAGACTCTGTTTTTCTATAGAGAGTAAGAACGTTTATCATAAAAAAGAATGCTCACACTTTCTCCCCCCAAAAATTTGCGAATGAAAATAAATGGGTCTTGAGGGCCCACAGGTGGCATGGCAGTTAAGGTGCTGGACTCCCACATGGCTGACCACGGTTCGAGTTCCAGACCTGGCAGCTTGTTTCCTCACTTTCTTCTCTCTCTCGCTCACTCTTGTTCTGTCCCTCTGTAGTCAAATTTAAATAAATAAATAAATAAATGAATGAATGAATAAATAAATAAATAAATAAAAGTAAAAATCATTCAAAAAATTTTTTTAAAAAAAGAAAGAAAATCAATGGGTGCAATGACTACTGTGTCATCAGAAGAGCCATGAGGCAATTTTGCATAGAAAAACATATAAAAATACGTCATGATTTTTTCCCCAGGACCCAGTACAATAGAATAATTCTTGCTTCCTTCCTAGGCAGAAGGATTCCCCCAGGATATTTACTTTTCTGAAATCACCCAGCGGCCTGTTCAACAGCTAACCCCTTCCTGAGAGACATCTACCTCTTGGAATGGTTCCTGGTATCAGGGCCCAAACCAGGGTCATGTGCCCTCTGCCTCCAAACCGGTCCTTTGCTTCCAAGAAGTCAGGTCTACTCTCTTTCCCGGCCCTCAATCCAGCTATCAGCACACTGTCTACGCCTGCCTACCACAACTCGAGAAAGGTTTCACGACTGATCAAGCAAACCTGAAGATGAAATCAGGAAGAAATGAACTGGAGGCCACTCTCCAGCCCACGCTTCTACTTACCTCGTGCGCCTTATTTCTGACTAGGAAGTCAGACACTCTTTTTTTTTTTTTTATCATTATCATAATCTTCTTTATATTACATTGGATTACATATAACTTTACAGTGTATTACATTGTTTTTTCAAAAGGGAATGCCATGCATGTCCGTCAGTACAGAGACATTAATCTCCCCACTTCAACATTCAATATCTTTTCTATGTTTTCCCCAATCATTATTTTTATTATTCTAATTATTTTTAAAACAGTCAATTGCTATTTCTCATTTTGCTTGTAAAAATACTTTGCCCATCATGAAATACTTCTCAGACCAATCCAGTTGAGAATACTATACATGTCATCATCAACAGGTAATAAGCCCTATCTGTTTCTCACTAACGTCCTGCCTCTCTATTGTTCAGAAGTCAGACACTCTTAAGCAATCTCCTCGCTGCTCAAGTTATTTGCCCAACAAATATTTATTTAGCACCTACTGCGTGGCAAGCACTGTGGCAGGCACCAGTGGTCTAGCACTGAACTAAATGAGCCCCTGGTTTCTCGGAACTCACATTCTACTTGTTAAAGAAGGCAACCTCGACAAAGGGACCTGAAGCGCACATGCAAATGACCAATAGAGCTCCTCCATCAGTGCCGATTACCAGATCATCAAAGCTTACATACTTCCCAGGACTTTGAGGGTGACATGGAGGGAAGAGGGGCATGCCTACATATCAAAAACAGACAAATGGCTCGTGATTTTCAAATTAGCCTTAACAGGACCCACGCTGAAGCCATTCTGGAGAGAAGACCTCTTTTTTAACTTTTTAATTATATATTTAATTTTTTTACTTATCATTATTACTATTATTTAATTTGCTACAGAGGACATGCACTCACCAGCAAGAGACAGACAGACAGAGAGAGAGAGAGAGAGAGAGAGAGAGAGAGAGGGAAAGCGCGAAAGAAAATTTGCTACAGAGGACATGCACTCACCAGCAAGAGACAGACAGACAGAGAGAGAGAGAGAGAGAGAGAGAGGGAAAGCGAGAAAGCAAGCCACCAGGTCTGGGACTCAGACCATGGTCAGTCATACAGAAGGTCAGCACCTTAACCCCCACGCCACCTGCTGGCCCTGGAGAGAAGACCTCCTAACAGACTGCAGTGCTGGGGGAAGTGAACTACTCACCCAGACATTGCTCTTCTGCTTTCTCAAAGTTGAAATCTGCCAATTAAAGCCTGACGTTGAGGGTCACTGGGAAAGTCACACCGTATTTTTCATGACTTTCCCAATGACCTAAGAGAAGGCGTAATCGGGGCTGCAGTCCAGAAATACCTTCCCCTCTCAGACAGGCAAGATGAAGAGCGCAACAGTGACAGTCCCTGTCCGACAGTCACTGCAGCTTCCCTCAACGCCCCCAGGCAGCCCGGACAGCACTGCCCCTGCCCTAAAAACTAGGTTCATGAGACTCTTCTACCTCTCCTTGGCCACAGAGCTTCTTGGGCATTACCCTCCCTCGCTGATAAGCAATTTCTACAGAAGAGCCTGCAGCTATCACTCCACTTTAAAAAAAGTGCTTCAAAATAAAAAGGCAAGTTTCATCATAAATAGCCACCCCCCCCCGTTCCACACACATGTACTTCATGTGTTTTTCAAGCCCCCAAGGGCCAGGACTCAAACCATGCCATTGGCTATGTGAGATCCTCCGCCTTACCCACCAGGCCACTTGGCTGGCCCATGAATAGCATTTTAAACTAAAAAAAAAAAAAAAAAAAAGCACTAAAAATAAAGTTTAACAGGACCAGCAGTTGGCATAATGGCTATGTTGTTGGACTCCCATGTAGTCAACCACGGCTCAAGTCCCGGACCTGGTAGCTTAAACTCACACACCAGACACATATGTGTGCATGCCCAGGATCCCAAGAGAATGGAGGAGAAAGAATTGCAGCCATCCCCCTGGGTGGTGATTTCTCGCTTTCTGTCTCTCTGTCTCTTTCTGGCGAGAGCATGCACCCCATAGCAATAAAAACCACCGGAAAAAAAAAAATGAAGTTTAATTATACCACCCAGATGTCATAACCGTTAAGACATCAGCAAATGAATGTCTAGGCATAGATACATTTTTTGAGAGATTTTCACTGTAGGGCGCGTACACTCGCCAGACAGACAGAGAGAGACATAGAGACAGAAAGTGAGAAATCACCCCCTAGGGGGGATGGTCACGCCGCAATCCCTCCTCCTCCATTCTCCTCTCGGGATCTTGGGTGCACACGCACACGCGCCCGGCGTGAGTTTTAAGCCACTGGGTCCAGGACGTGAACCACGGTCGACTACGTGGGAGTCCAGCGACATAGCCATTACGCTAACTACTGGTTCCCGTTACAATTATTTTTTTAAAGAATCATTTATTTAATTTATTATTATTATTGTTCTTCAGTTTGACCAGGGAGAAACAGAGAGAGAGAGAGAGAGAGAGAGTGAAAATAAGCTGCCAGGTCCAGAACTTGAACCACGGTCAGCAATGGAATCCAGGTGCCTTAACCACCACGCCATCTGCCAGCCTCTACATACATATTTTTAAAATTTCTACCTAATTTCTATGTTAAAGATTATGCAGCTTCCTCTTTACAGTGACAATACAAAGTCTGGAGAACGCCAGGAAAAAAGGCTTTAAAAGCAGAGTCAGGGAAAGCTCAGGCCTCAGGATGGCCTGCACTATGGAACCACTGGCAAAGAAGATCTTTAAAGGAGTTTTAGTAGCTGAATTTATGGGTGTTTTTTGAGCATACTTTTTGTTTACTAAGATGAACACAGCCAAGATTTCAGGCATACAATGAACAAGAAATTCTCTTTCACCTTAGAAGTTTATTACAAATCCATCAAACAATCTGGAATGTATGGGATCAGAGAACAAGATCAAGAAAAATGGCTGAATAGCAAAAATGAGGACCAGTCATCACGCTCGGCCTCCTATCTAAGCTGTTGGAGACCTGTGGGAGGAGAAAGAGGTGCCCTCCACACGGCAGACGCTTGGTGGCCCCACAGCACATCCTCTGGAGTACCAGGGACTTCTGCTCTGCCCTGGCTTGAGTTTCCCACCCACCGTGAAAGTCACCTACTTGTTTGTTGCTTTTCTTCTGTATTTATTGTTAAATATCAATGTTTTACAAATGAAAGACTAAGGAAGAAAAAAAAAAAAAAGCCGTGTCAAATCATGGGACTGATTAACACGAAATTCCAAAGGATGGAGAGGAGAGGAATGATTGGGGAGGGGACACACAGGACATTTCACCAACACTAATGACCTTCCTTTTCTTTTTTTTAAAGAATTATTTTTATTTAATTTTGTCATTATTTTTTAAGAATTATTTATTTAATTCCATTTGTTATTATTATTTTTTAATTTGACCAGAGAGAGAAAGGGAAAGCAAGAAAGCAAGCCACCAAGTCTGGGACTCGAACCGTGTGAGCCATGTGGGAATCCAGTGCCTTGAACCACCACACCATCCGCCAGCCCTCACTGTCATTATTTTATTTCATTTTTTTGAAGTTGACCAGAGAGACAGAGAGAGAGAAGGAAAGTGAGAAAGCAAGCTGCCAGGTCCAGGACTCGAACCACAGTCAGCCATGTGGGAGTCCAGCTACCTTAAACACCACGCCACCTGCTGGCTTCAATGATCTTCCTTTTCTTTTTTTGGTTGGGTGGTAGGTTCACATATGTACATTTTACTATTATACTTTAAGCCTCATGCTGTTTTTTAATACTTATTCTAAGCTTTATACCTTAGTATACATACCTGTCAAAAGTATTTCTGTAGACATCAAATGATATTGGGTCACTGGCAAAGTCATGACACATTTTTGCATAGAAAAAAATCAAAGTCGTGACTTTCCCGACAACCTAACAGATATAAAATAAAGAAAAAAAACATAATACTGGAGATGGAAGGTGGCACGGTAGTTAAGGGTGCTGGACTCCCGCATGGCTGACCATGGTTCAAGTCCTGGACCTGGTGGCTTGTTTTCTCACTTTCCCTTTCTCTCTCTTGTTCTGTCCCTCTCTGGTCAAATTAAAATAAGGAAATAAATAAAGTTAAATAAAATAATTGCTTTAAAAAAATAGAAAACATGGGCCAGCATGTGGTGTGGTGGTTAAAGGCACTGGATTCCAACATGGCCAACTGTCATTCGAGTTCCAGACCTGTTGGCTTGCTTTTCTCTCATTCCCTTTTTCTCTCTCTCTGTCTGGTCAAATTAAAGAATAATAGTAACAAGTGGAATTAAATAAATAAATATTTTTTTTAAAAATAGAGAAGAAAAGATAATATTCTAAAGGGGAAAAGCAGAGCCAAGAGAAAGTTGCTTCTGTTACTCCCAAAAAATATAACGAGATTATAGGCCAGCTGGTAGCATGGTGTCTAAAGCGCCTAGCTAGATACCACATAGCCGGCTGTGTGGTTCAAGTCCTGGACCCAGTGGCTTAAAAAACACTCTAGGAGGCCAGCAGGTAACGTAGTGGTTGGACTAGACTCCCACATGGCTGACTACAGTTTGAGTTCCGGACCTGGTGGATTGAAACTCACGCTGGACATGCATGCTTGCATGCCCAAAATCCTGAGAGGAGAATGGAAGAGAAGGGATTGGAGTGTGACCATCCCCCCAGGGGTGATTTCTCACTTTCTCTCTCTGTCTGTACAGCAAGTGAACACACCGTATTGCAAAAATCTCTATTAAAAAAGAAAGACAGACATATCAGTCACATGTGCATGCATGTACAAGATCCCAGGAGGAGAATGAAGGAGAAGGCACTGTGGTGTGGCCATTCCTGCTAGGAGTATTTTCTCTCTTCCTCTCTCTCTCTCTCTCGCTCTCTAGCAAGTGCACATGCCCTAAAGCAAATTAAATTTTTTAAATTTTATGTATGTTTATTTAAAAACATATATATATATACATATATACACACACACACATATATTAATTTTATATATTTCTTTAAACACACACACATATATATATATATACACACACACATGTGTGTGTGAATAAATAAATAAAATAAGGTCCTGTCTGCCAGGGCATGCAGTAGGTGAGGGGCTTACCCAGGGAAACAGCTTGGCCAATGAAGTCACATAGGAGACATTTTTGCAATTAACTCTTTATCATACCTAACCTTGCCCTTTGCTATATTTAGGCTCCCTATTGGCAAAGACCTAACCCAGCCTAAGTTTAGAGACATTGGCTGAGACCACCCATTCTGGAATGAATCAGCCCTTAATTTTGTCTTCCATTTTATAGATGGCAAAGTGAACAAAACAAAGAGGCTTATGTAATCTTTAAGGCTAAAAATGAGTTCTAAGGGCCTCAATTCACTGTGTTACATCAAGCAAAGCTAGAATTTCATTTTCTGGGTCATATCCATGCAGTTTCTCTCTTCTGTGGTTGCTGCAATATATCTAGAGAAAGGGAGAGGTTACCCATTTCCATAAAGTAGAAGCGATGGCCTCAGGAAACTCTGATACACAAGAGTCTTATTATCCCTGCCTGCGAGATCTCACTTGCCAAGTGTCAGAGGTTCAGCCATCTCTGCAGCTCCCAACGGACTATCCTATGTTAGGGTTTGTGACATGGAATACTTGCATTTATCTCGTCCTTGTACACAGCTCTCTCTCTAGAAAGAGCGCACTCATAAGGCATAAGAGAAGAAAAAAATTCTAAGTTTGCAAGGCAGAAATCTGCAGTTAATGCAGTATGTCTGAGTGTAAAATGGCTTAAGTGTCTGCCCACTCAGGCTCCTTTTAGCTCTGGCAATTCTTCATTTCCCATATTTATCTTTTAACTCTCCTATCTCTGGCCACCAATGTTTCCTTCCTACTCCAAAGGCCCCTGAAACTTGGTCTTCCTCTCTCTATAGCTCTTCCCTTACAGCTCTATTCCAGAACTCTTGAAAATCCACAGACCAGAAACCTCCTCACAATTCCTTTGGTGAGCCACTTGTAATGGGATTAAAGGGATGAAAGCATAGTATCTTCATGTTGTCTAAAGGTGGGGCCTTGGGAAGACGTTAAGATTAAGGGCATGGGACCAGCGCTCAGCATCACAGCTATGTCGCTGGACTCCCACATAGTCAAATGCAGTTTGAGTCCCAGACCCGGTGGCTTAAACTCACGCCGGGCGCATGTGCATGCGTGCCCAAGATCCCGAGAGGAGAATGGAGGAGAAGGGATTGCAGCATGGCCATCTCCCCTGGGGGTGATTTCTCGCTTTCTGTCTCTGTCTTTCTGTCAAGTGCACGTGCCCTATAGTGAAAACCTCTCAAAAAAAAAGACTAAGGGCATTAGGGCAGACAGGAGGTTTATAAGGAAAGAAAATGAGACCAGAACAGAAAGACTTACAGGCCTGGCCACTCCGCTCTTGTCTTGTCCTTATGTTGTGATTAAGACGCTGCAAAACACCTATCAGACGTAGCCCCAGGACCTTGGACCTCCAAATCAGGAGCTGAATGAACCTCTATTTTCATAAATTACCCAGATTCAGGTATTTTCTGTTCTTAGCAACAAACTGGACTAGATTACTAGAGAAACCTTCAACTGCCTTAGTTGAAGGGATGAGGCATTAGTCCTTTCCCATAAGGAAGCAGAAATATTAGTGTTGTAGCAATTTTGCTTCTAGAGTGAAACTGGTTTTGTTATTTGTGATTCCAAAATTTGCCCATGCATCTTAATTTAAGAACCCAAACTTCAACTATTGACCAGTTAGTTCCTAAAATAGGGTTTAAAGATTCTTATATAAAAAAGACTTATAAAGAAAGAATATAGAGACCAGCAGATGGCGTAATGATTATGTCGCTGAACTCCCACATAGTCGACTGCAGTTCAAGTCCCAGTCCCAGACTTGGCAGCTTAAAACACACTGAAGGGGGCGTGGTGGCACCCACCCTATGGCAAAAACCTATAGAGGCTGGAGGACTGCAGCATCGAGTCCATCTCACTCTCTCTCTGTCTCTCTCGACAAGTGCACGATTTGGGGACCAGCAGTTAGCATAATGGCTATGTCACTGGACTCCCATGTAGTCGACCGCAGTTCAAGTCCCAGACCCGGTGGCTTAAAACTCACACCGGGTGCATGTGCATGCGTGCCCAAGATCCTAAGAGGAGAATGGAGGAGAAGGGATTGCAGTGTGGCCATCCCCCCTAGGGGGTGATTTCTCGCTTTCTGTCTCTCTCTGTCTTTCTGGAGAGCGCACGCGCCCTATAGCAAAAACCTCTCACCAAAAACAAAAACCCCCAAAAAAAAAAAAAAAAAAAAAAGAAACATTTAATAAAACTTTAAAGGAATTATTTTATTTAACTTTCTTTCTTTCTCTCTCTTTCTTTCAATTCGAACAGAAAGGGACAGAGTGAAAGAGAGAGAGAAAAAGTGAGAGAGAAAGTAAGCAAGCCAGCAGGTCTGGGACCCGAACCGCGGTCAGCCATGTGGGAGTCCAGCACCGACAATCAACATGTCACCTGCTGGCTCCAATAAACTATTTTTTTTTTAATGGGGAAAATATGCTAGCTCAGTGTCACCTGAAATAAAAGGCTTCTTTCCAGAGAACCTTAAAACTGTGATTCACTCCACTTTCACAAGGTACCTAGGATAGTCAAATTCACAGACACAAAGCAGATTGGTGGTTGCCAGGGACTGGGAAGAGGAGGTTAATGGGTACAGAGCTTCAGTTCTGGGCGCTGAAAAGCGCTCTGGAGACGGATGGTGGTGACAGCTGCGCAGTGACGTGAATATACTTGATGCCATGAACTGTACATTTTAAAATGGTTAAAAATGGTAAATTTTAGGTTATACATACATTACCACAATAAAAAAAAAAGAAATAAAGCAATGAATGTTCAACCTGAATATGAAGAAAAACACACTAAGGAGGAAAATAAAATAGTCTGGGGCTCTGTACTAGATAGAATTTGCTGAATCTCCTCCCAATGCCTTCTCACTCCTAGCCTCCTCCACTCTCCTACCACCAGTAAAAAGGATATAGCAAAATCATAAACAGAGGAAGCACAGGAAATCAGACAGAAAAGCTCAAACCTTTCCAATGCGCAGTCCTCTCCCACGTCCACTCTCCGTCTCTAGGATGGGTACTGACATTCCTATGTAAGAGTTAGGGAACGCAGTCCCTCTGAATCTCACTTACTGTACGCTACAGAGCAGTCCTTGAATTCTCACCACAGGCTGATGCTTTCAGTTCTTGTCCTCAAAAGGGAATTCCCTGAAGCATGCTGATCCCCCACTTCCCACACATAAGAGCCTGCATCTACTTACCAAGATCTGCTACCAAAACTTGCTAGTTTTTGTAGAGACCAATGTTTTTTTTTTCCTGTTCTATATTTAATACTCAACAGCTTCAGCTTTTCCCAACACCACCTAACTGTCATGCAGCAGTGAAAAGAGTCACTGCTTTCCAGCAATGAGGACCATCACCTTGCACAGGAGGCGCCTGTGGTTCACCTGACAAAGCTTCGAAACATCAACGCTGCTCTTTGAGTCTGTTTGCCATACCTCCTACCCCCTGAGCCCCAGAGTAACATGCCTTACCTTTGGTGTCCTGCATGACAATTGAACTATACTTTAAGAAGGTGATCAGCAGGTTACTGGTCTGCACATCTGCATCCAGTGGGAGTTCCACCGAACTTATAACTGGAATAGAACAGATAAAATGCACTTAGCTACAACACATTCCACTAACACTTCTACCACATGGCCCATTCACCAGCAGGCAAGAAAATCACTAAAGAAGCTTTTTCCGAAACAGAGGGAGGAACAAATGCTTATCGTAAAACTTCTATCTACTCCCCTAGGCTTCTAGAGTCCTTCCTTTGCCCAAAATTAGGCCGCACAACCTTCTCTCAGGACTGGTCTTTGGAACAGGGCTTTCTCCCAACATCTCAGGAAGAGCATGTTGATCTCACTTCCAGCCCCAAGTAACCCAAAAGAGTTCAAGGTCTTTTCTTTTCTTTTTTTTTTTTTTTTTTAGGGTCTGTTTCTTACCAGAGAGAGGGAAAGTGAGGAATCACCCCCCACAGGGTATGACAACACTACAATTCCTTCTCTTACATTCTTCTCTAGGGATTTTGGGCACAAATACATATGAACCCACCGTGATTTTTTTCTTTTTCTTTTTTTTTTTTTTTGTAGAGAGGTTTTTGCTATAGGGTGCATGTGCTCACCAGAGACAGAGAGAAAGACAGAAAGTGAGAAATCACCCCCTAGAGGAGATGGTCATGCCACAATCCCTTCTACTCTGTTCTCCTCTTGGAATTTTAGACACACACACATGCACCCTGTCTGAGTTTAAGCCACCGGGTCCGGGACTCGAACCATGATCAACTATGTGGGAGTCCAGTGGCATAATCATTATGCCATCTGCTGATCCCAAACCCACCATGATTTACAAACTGCCGCATCCAGCACTCAAACAACGGTGAGCCATGTGGGAGTCCAACACCTTAACCACCACACCACCTGTTGTTCCCCTCCCAGGGTACTTCTTAAAGGCCATTTCATTTATACCCAAGGAAAGGTCTGCACTGAATATAAATAAACCCTGCTTTGATAAGCCTCTTGCTTAAAATAAATGAAGATTCTTTCCTAATAAGGAGAAATCTTGCTCAACTGCGGGAACAAATCTTTAGGGAGGAAATACGTAAGATGGAAGGAGAGAAAGTTAAGGTAGAACTATATTCAAAGCCTATCCCTTGATGCCTGTGCCTTGAAAGGGAACTTGAAAAGGAATATCAGACTGAAAAACAGGTGGACATTGCTAAACAGGATAGCCTGGGAACTGCGTTTGATCTACTCAGCTGCTGTTTCCAAGGGAAATCCCGCCCCCAACTCTATGATCCACAGTCTCCGGGAAGGAAACTAAGGCTGGCAGACACAAAACATGGTCTTAATGCAGACTTCCCAAGATTCTAATATTTTCAGTTAGATTTAAACATCTTGTTAGATGCACTTACATTGTCTAAGACATACATATACGCAAATGGAGGCTCATGACAGCTCAGATAAGCCAGAGAATCTGTAATTTTCTGCTGCATTTTCAGCCATGAAGACTCAGCTGAGTTGGGGGGTGTTACTCATAATATGTATTCATAACTATAATGGATCCCTCTGGAGGTATCACGATGTATGCAGAGAGTGCTTATTAACAATGGGAAACATTTGCATATTATGGCTCCATAACACACAGCAAGCACAGCAAAAAGCCCTAGGAGAAGAAATTAGCATGCCCTGCCCTCGGCTGATTTCCCACAGTTCAGCCCCCAAGAACTAATAAAAGACTAATATATTTTTATGTTGAAGTACTAAAAGGTCTTAATTCATGTTATGAGTTAATGACTTGAGACTGTCACTTCAAACCACAGTCCATTCTGAAGTTCAGAGCCCATAATCATTCCTTTCTCCAAACCAAACTAGGAAGTGGGACTTTGCTCCCCACTCACACACAGCAAGAGCTGAAAAACTATCTTATATAATACGTGGAAATATAGAAGTAATGTATTTTTAGTTTACCAGAAAGTCCTCTTATGCCAAGGCTGAGTTGTCAAATGTCAAGTCTGAGCTGAGAACAAATGTTACAGCTAAACTGCTGGCTTTTAAGAATAATGGCTCCAGTGACATACCTTTAAATACAACTGGGTTACTGAGCACCACTACAATTAAAAACCAAAACATTGAAAACAAGGCTATACTACTTAGGACCCCTACAGAAAGGAAATGAGCTAGGAGAGAGAAGAGAACAAATAAAACAGAGGCAGAACAAAATCCCTCACAAATGAAAATCTTCTTCTTAAAAAAGGATCATTCCTTGAGCTTTGGCTTCACAATGCTTCCCAGGAGCTTTTACAGAGGGAGACAGTCATTTGAAAGTGGGCTGACTTGATCTTCCACTAGAAAAAATAAAAGCTCGCTGGTTGTAGGTAAGCACAAATCCTGCCACTGCATAAGCAAGCGTGTGGGTGGAAGTGTTCACAATGAACAGTTTGAAAGGCAGTTCTCTGAAGCATCCAAAGCCCGACATCACATGAAACTCACTGACACTCCACTATACTAATGTAAACCCCAGGTCAGGTAGAACTTTTTGTCTGTTTTATTCATCAGTGTTATCCAAGTGACAAACAATATGTGAAAACATACACATACACACACACACACACACACACACACACACACACACACATACACACAGTCTTTTGATATCCATGGTAACCAGGCAGGCTTCAACCTTAAAGAGAAAGTACAGTATTTTTATTGGATTATTCAGTGACCCGAATAGAGACAAGTAGGCAATCCTCACTACTTGCTCCTTCTCAGTAAGATATTTTGGAATCTGGCTTTCAAGTCTGAACAGACTCAGTTTGCTACCACAGACCTGAATATCACTGGCGCCTCCCTGACAGGCTTCCGTACTCCTCAGAGTGCCTTGCAGCGCTATTGCTACAGGTGCTGTATGAAACTTAGAGGGGAGAAAGCAAAAGGCGGTCATTTCAACATACAAACAGCAGGGAGGCTCAAAGAAAGGGTCGAAGTCGGATTTCCTGTACTTCCTTGCCTAAAATTAGATCAGCGTTCGAGGTATGGCATCAACATTAACATCAACCATTTTTAGGTTTAGGTACTCTAGCAAAAACACTAACCCTGTAAGAGAACCAACTCAGGTAACAAAGTTTTGGGAACAAAATTCATGATTTCTTTTCTGTTACCATTTTTTCCATTCCAGCCATAAAATTTGTAAAAGGGAAGTTATTTGTGTTGTTGTTTTAGAGAGAGTAGTCTTAAATACCCACCAAATTCCCAATTCTAATATACTCGAAGCTAGTCACTGCCAACTGAGAGTAGCTGACAGGCATAACTATGAGTCCCAGGCTCACTTTCTCTTGGGTCTATACAAATGTTTACTAAGCAATTACCATGCCGGGCACTACGCCGGGGAAACAGTAATACACAAAACAGACACGGCCCCTGCCCTGAGCACCGTCCTGGTTCTCACTTAACCTCTCCCTCGCTAACCACAGGCACTGTTTCACTCCTCTGGCCTCAATTTCCTCGTCTGTCAAATGGTAACATGCAATAACATTACCCGTCCACATTACTCTTCCATGTTTATTTCAGTACTTTATAGTCACGAGGTAGTATTTTTCGTAAAGTATCACTTCTGAGCCTCACGAGTCCCGAGGGTTTGGTAGGATAGCATTCTGACCTTTGAGGTCCCTTTCAGATCTGGCACTCCACAATTTTATTGGGTCGTCAGAAAAGTCATGATGCATTTTTGCATAGAAAAAAGTACGTCATAACTTTTCTGATGACCCAATATAACAACTATTCTCCGAGGAGGACAAGCTGGAGTTATGTGGCTTCTTGCTCAGAGAAAAGCACTTGCTTATCTTTTCCAAAGTTTTCTTTGGAACTTCAGGAGTCCTGAAGGACAGTATTACAAATGTCTTACTTGAACAAATTAACAACCATGTTCTCTGTTCAACAGAGCTATGCTCCCGCTGAAAGATCTAAAATCCTATTAATCAAGGAAACAAAAGAGGTGGTGGGCTCACCGTCAGAGGAGGGCGGTGTGGTCCCAAGTGGTGTGGCTGGGGTTGTTGGCGCAGGACTGACAGGAGTCGTCACCAAGCCCATTTCTGGATGACTCTGAAAGAGGATACACATAGGTATGAAAACAGTAACTCCGATTCTGAGCATCCTCTGCTTAATGCTCTGGTACTCCTGGCCTCATAACTGGACAAAACGCTCACCGAGGAGTGACTGCTGTACATTTAGTTCCCATGAGTACCTGGCTGCTGTTAATGCTTGCTAACCTCTAGTAAGTAAGAAGCTCTACGGGCTAGTTTTCTTTAAGCAACTAGGTTCCCATTATGTAAGTTTTTCTGCAGCACCACATGAATAAAAAACTGGGGTAAGCAAATACACAGGGTAACTCCACAAGAAAGAGGGGGACTTCTGCAGTCCTATCCAGACCTGGACAGGGACCACTCTCAGCAGGTCAACCTAAAACACATCCGATGATCACCCAGTTCATGCATAGATGTAGGTGAGCCAAGGAGGTACCCAGCATTAGGAAAGGAGGTATGCAGAAGGCAGGCTTCCTATTCTACAAGTAAGGGTGGGTGGGCGGAGAGGCAGAGACAGGGAGACACCCAGACTCCCCTGTCCCTGACTGTCCTTACCCATCCCTACCACATCAGCTCTTGAGAATTAAGCTGAATGGCAGCTGTTTTTAATCTCCCTATGTTTCCCCCAGCAGTTTTACCAGCCCTTTTCCTTCCTCACCTCCTTTCTTTAAAATCAGTTATAGAATTTGGATGGCTTACAAAGGTAGAGTGCAAATAGTGGATGAAGTCCCTTCGGTTATCAGTTTCAAAAACTGAAAAGTGTTCTCTGAAACAGACCCCAAACCAGCACACTGCTTTAAAGCATGACCTTGCTTTTTTTTTGTTAAAACTCAACCAGTGGGTTCCATATTCTTCTCCTCTGAGAGAAATGCATAAGCTAACTTTCCTTTAAAAGAAACCTACATACATATTTTAAACAGCCTGGCTTTAAAGTTAAAAAAAAAAAAAAAAAAACCACTATCAATATTTTAAGATAGCTTTCACGGACAGCACTTGCGAACGTCTTGGTCTACTTTAGTCCCCTTCCGAGCAAACTCCTGAGAAATATTCCTTAGGCGTGTGACCCTGCACTCTGGATTCTCTGACTTTCTGCTTTCAATGTATGTGTAGGCCATTTTATCTGTTAATAGCTAACCTTATGCTGGAAAGGGTAATTTTTACTTTCCTCCCCTAGAAATTGGTGAGATAATAAGATAAGTGACTTGGCCTATTTTATTTCCAGTGGTGATTTCACAGTGGTTCAAAAGCAGAAAAGCCTGACATAAAAATTCACCTGGCAGAAAATGCCAGGAGATTTCTAGTGAGCAAAACGAAGTAATCTCAACTCACCTGGGTGAACAGAATCAGTAAACTGCTCAAAACCATTAACTCTGCAGGTTAGGAGACCCACTTAAGTACAAGATGGAAACATACAAATCTGAGGATAGCAACGAGGCAATTCTGCTATTACACTAGCCAATGCAAAGCAGGGCTTAAACAGGTGCAGCCAGATAGGCCTCCCAAGGGAATGAATCTGAATGACATTTGGAGAAAGAAAGGTGGAGGGGACGTTTAATGTGACCAACCTGAGCTAAGACCGTGATGAAGTTGCGATTTAAATGAACAGCTTCATAAAGTGCCAGAAGAATGGCCTCGTTGGTTCTAAAGAAAAAGAAAACAAATTGGATTGGCTCAAAAGTAGAGGAGTTAAAATACAATTTCACTTCAGCTCTTTATTAGCAATCCCTTTGAGTTTCTAATATTCCCCTTTTCCCTTCTAGGCATACACAAACTGTATAGGTGTGTGCCAGGGCCTTAATTTTAATTCCTTGGTATACATTAACTACATTCACCATCTTCTGGCTTTTCCATCCCCATCCAGTAAAGTCCTCAACTGTCTCAGACATCCAGGCCTCTTGTTTATTACCAGAAATGGGTGTAACAGTTTTTCAACTTCTTGGGGCTCAAAACGCATGAGACCAAAGTGGAGATTTTTAGGGCCCATTACTGTTTAAAACCCAACAAACAAGACCAGCAGATGGCACAATGGTTACATTTCTGGATTCCCACGTAATTGGCCATGATTTGAGTCCTGGATCCAGTGCTTAAACTCACACTGGGTGCATGCATTTGTACAGGCATGCCCAATATCCCAAGAGGAGAATGGAGGAGATGGGACTGCAGCGTGGCCATCGTTCCAGGGGGTGATTTCTCATGTTTTGTCTCTGTCTCTCTGTCACTCCGGTGGGCACACGTGCCCTATAGCAAAAATCGTTTTTGTTTTTTTTTTCTGAGGTTTTTGCTACAGGGTGCATGCGCTCACCAGAGAGAGAGAGACAGAGACACAGAAAGCGAGAAATCACCCTCCTGGGGGGGATGGCCACACCACAAACCCTTCTCCTCAATTCTCTTGGAATCTTGGGCGCACACACACACGGTACTCGCCTGGCATGAGTTTAAGCCACCAGGTCTGGGACTCAAACCGCGGCCGACTACATGGGAGTTCAGCAACATAGCCATTAAGCTAAGTGCTAGACCTACAAAAAATCTCTTTCTTAAAAACACAAAACAAAACAAGAAACACTTGCTAAATCATCAGAAAAAAAGTCTGGAGAATGGCATGGCACTGGGCTCCCACTTAGCCAACTGCATTTTGAGTCCCTGACCTGGCAGCTTGCTTTCTTACTTTCTCTCTTTCTCTCTCTTCCACGCTCATCAAATTGAAATAAATAGGGGCCAGCAGTTGGCATAATGGTTATGTCGCTGGACTCCCATGTAGTTGACCACAGTTCGAGTCCTGGACCCGGTGGCTTAAACTCACGGCAGGTGCGTGTGCGTGCGTGCCTACGATCCCGAGAGGAGAATGGAGGAGAAGGGATTGCAGCATGGCCATCACCCCTAGGGGGGGACTTTTCGCTTTCTGTTTCTCTGTCTCTGTCTTTCTGGCGAGCACATGTGCCCTATAGCAAAAAAACTCTCAAAAAAATTTAAAATTAATAAATAAAAAAAGTTAAGTAGAATAATTCTTTTAAAAACGTTTGAATCTATAAAACGTTAGCAAAAGATGCAGTTTCACACTCATATTCGGCAGGAGAGCCCACACTAACGTCCAGGACACTACAGTAGGATGGCAGGCACTTACTGTACTGAGATTTTCTCATGGGCATCTGCTATGAACATGCTGCCCACCTGTGGAAGAAAAGGGGAATTGCAGACTATGACATGAGGCTGTGACATCAGAGGAGCTCTGAACTGCCAAGCCTTTAATCAGTGAAAACATGCTGCTTCCAGATGACCGGCATGTGGAACTGTGGACCGTCAGTCACACACACCACACACCAAAACTAGCCCACTTGGAAGATTTTGAAAGACGTATTTTAAAAGACCTAATAAATGAATCAATGAGAACTCTACTAAATCATCTCACTTTACAGGGCCTTTAAAAAGAAAATCCCGTACTTCTGTCCTGAGCAGGAGCTCTGATGCAAGGTTAGTCACTCTGACAGTGAGTAAATGTCACCCTTCACATCATCTCTGTTCCTGAAAGTTGCTCACTTGAAGTCAGGAACTAACTCATGAAGAATGTCATCGAGGTATCTTTGGGAGAATATTAGGGTTTCAGACCAGACTGTCTTTGCAAGGCCCACTGTCCCTCCACCAGATAACAACACCTTTAGTTCGGGTCCCAGTCAGAGCAGGTGAGTAAGTAAATGAAGTAGGCTGCCACACAGGCACGGAAGACAGAGCCTCAGGAAGTATCTACCAGTTACCAACGCCCAGAACTGTAGCCTGAGCTTCATTTATTTGGTGTAAAACTTTTTTCCTTGGCTAAATGGCAAAGATCTCTGAAAGCAGTATAATTATATTTAATTTACTTAATTGGACATCAATACAAAACCTATACTTTTCAGGACCAGCAGGTGGTGTGATGGTTAGGGCAGCTAGATCCACATGGCCCGCTGCGTGGTTCAAGTTTCAGATCCAGTGGCTTAAAGAGGACATCATGCACAAGTGTGGGACTGCTCAAAATCCTGCGAGGAGAATGGAGGAAAAGGGAATGCAGCATGGCCAACCCCGGTGGGCTTTCTCACTTTCCCTCTCCCTTTCTCTGTCTTTGGTGAGTGCACATACCTTATAGCAAAAATGTTTAAATAAACAATTATCTAAAAATTAAAAAACCTCTATCCCTCTAGCCTCTACGAGACTGTACTCATTTATGCTTAAGAGTTAGAGTCTTTTGGGCCCTTTCCTGAGAGGAGGCTCTGAGAAGAAAGAAGGGAAAACGCACAGACACTGTGGAAGAACAGTTTCTTCGTGGCAGTGGTGGTGGCGGTAGTGGGGGCAGCTACTTCCTGCAATGAACTCAAAAACTGTCTTGCCCTAGGAACTGATTCCTTGAATACTAATGCCCAAGAAGACAGACTTTCTGAATGGGCCAAGGTTCTAGGACCTCCTAGATTTATCTCTTAAAAATCGGTCTCAGGCCAGGTGCAATGGTGTAGTTCCAGCTATTCAGGAGGCTGAGGCGGGAGGATCACAAGAGCACGGCCAGCCTGGACAACAGAGTGAGACCCCGCCTCTTGAAAAAAATAAAAGGGGGGCGGGCAACGCAGCCCCTAGCACGGCAGTCAGGCAGTCACGGCAGTCAAGTGCCATCTCTTGGTAGCTAGATACCACACGACCAAGCACAGTTTGAATCCCAGTCTGAAGCTTGAAAACACACTGGCCACATGTGCATGAGGGCCCAAATTCCTGACGGGAAAGAAGAAATGGAGGAAAAATGATTGTGATGTGACCACACCCTGTTGTCAGGCACTTTTTCTGTCTGTCTGTCTGTCTGTCTGTCTCTCTCTCTCTCTAAGCACACGTGCCCTCTGGCAATTAAGAATGAAAAGTTTAAAAAAGTAAAAAAGGTGGGTGAGGGAAGCCAGATGGTGGTGCACCAGCAATACAACTGGACCCACATGGAAAGGTGGGTTTTGTATCCCAGGGCCTCCCTGTGCACTGAAGGTGCATGTGTACCCACAATCCAGGCTGGCTGAGGTTAGGGGTGGGCTGCAATATGAGGACCCCGCTGGGTGGTGCCTATCTCTTTCTGCCTGTCTCTCATGGGAAAAATAAATCATCTTTTAAAAAAAAATAGTCCCAGTTTATCTCGCCCAAAATGTCAATGCTGCCAAGACCGAGAAGCCTTGCTCTGGAGTCTTATAAACTGGACTAATAAACATTGCTAACCTTTGGCCCACTCGGCCCTAACCATAGGCCCTCAGAGTGGCTCAGCAGTGCACAATCTCTCAGGACTGCTGTGAAAGACCAAGTGGCCACAGCGACCAGCCGAGAACACTCAGAGGAGGACTTCCATCTAAACCTTTCTATTCCCTGTTGCACAGGGTCAGTTCCTACCCAGGGCCAACTCTTTAGGAAGGAAACGTCTAGCTTAATGTATACCTCTACTTCAGCCGTTAATTAATTATGAAAAAAAATCAGTTCCAGAGAAATGAAAGCTCTCCTTTACCCCATCTCACTTGGTTGGGGACTAAGGGAGAGTCACTTCCCAATAAAACACACTCTGAGCAGCTCCGCCCCTCATCATGCCATCGCCTTCTGAGCCCAGATTTGCCGACCCCTGCAGACTTTACGTATTTCTGAGCAGAAGAAAAGAAACCAAGTGGTACTTACCATATTGGTTAAAGCAGAGAAAAAACCACTCTGGTGTTCTTCTTCCTTGTCTTTATATTGCCTGAACAAAAAGAATTCAATTCAACTTCAGAATTATTTATCAGGTATGCCTTTATCCTTGGCATCCTAGGTAATCAGGGCAGGGCACTCTTAAAATGTTCTGACTCCAGAAAACTAAAGCATTATGACAGTCTAGCCCCTGCAGTTTCGCGAGAGCTAAGAGGCACCCATCTGTTCTCACGGTGCGTACCAAAATGCCTGGCTACTTTGGGAGAGACTGAGAAAGCAAGTGCAGAAGTGTGAGACCGCTCCGACATATGGCTGATCCACTTATTTCCCAAACAGACTTACTTGGAAAGTGTGACAGTGAAATTAATTTAAGGCTGTTAATAGTGAAAATCTTGTTTGTTTTTGAAGGAGAAGGAGGTAAACCTGCAAGTTAAACTACTTGTGGAGGTAGGACAGATTTGAAGGTCCAATACCCAATTTTGTATGAGGAAAATCTGAAAAAGAGTAAAAAGATCCTTGCTAGCCCCTGACAGGATTAAGGATACCTCTGGTTTCTGCTCACTGAACACCAGATCCTTCCCCATCTCTAACAAGAGGAAAAGCAACCATCAGAGAAGAGAATGAATAGGGACTCTGCAAAGCTGAGGGTGACTCCCAGTGAAAATGAAACCTCTGTCAAACTAGAGCTAATTTGGTATGCCTTCTCCTTTTACTTATTTTTTAAGAGTTCAAAAAAGCAGTGCTTCCCAACCTCTTCTACTGGGTTTTCGGAAAGGTCACAACACATTTTTCTATGCAAAAATGCATCTTGATTTTTCTGACAACCTAATATGTAGAAAATTATATTTTTATGCTATACACTGGACTAATTGGGAAAGACTGCTGTGGGTGAAAAACTATCTAAAATGCTCTAAAACAGGGCCAGCCCTGTGGTCTAGTTAAAAGAGCTGGATCCCACTTGGCTGATGGCAAAGTTTGAATCCCAGCCTTGCTGGCTTAAAAACACACCAGGCACATGTGCATGTATGTCCAAAGTCCCCAACAGGATGGAGGAATAGAGAAGGGATTATATTTTGACCACGCCCCACTGGGACTGCTTTCTCCCTCTCCCTCTCTATCTCTCTCTGGCAAGCACACATGCCCACTGGCAAAAGACAAAAAAAAGTAAAGCTTTACAATAACAAGAATATGTCTAAAATGCTTAAACTAAAGATGGAAACTAAACTGGTGGCTACTTATGTCACTGGACTCCCACGTGGCCGATCACAGTTTGAATCCCAGGTCCAGAGGTTTAGAACTCACACAGGGTGCGTGTATGCATGTGTGAAATCCCAAGAGGAGAATGGAGGAGAAGGGATTGTGGTGTGGCCATCCTCGCAGGGGGTGATTTCTCACCTTCTGTCTCTCGGGTGAGTGTACACACCCTATAGCAAAAATCTCTCTATAAATAAATAAATAAAACATTTGCTGGGCCAGCAGGTGGCATGGAGGTTACGGTGCTGGACCCCATATGACCAACTGCACAGTTCAAGTTCAGGACTTGGTGGCTTGAAAGTCACATGGGGCACCTGTGTACAGGTGTTCAAAATCCTGAAAGGAGACTGGAGAAGGGACTGTGGTATGGACATTCCCCTGGGAGTGATAGCTCACTTTCCTTCTCTCTCTTGTCTCTCTCTCATGAGCACACACACCTCATGGCAAAAACTGTAAAATTAAAATTTAATTAAAAAAAAAAACACAACCATTGCTAAATCTATCAAGCCAAACCAGAACGAATACATTTGCCAGGAACTATATCTCAAATAGCCTTTTAAGACATGTAAGGAAATTTCACCCTAAGAATTCTAGTGTTTCCTCCTTAACCATGAATGAAAAGTAGACCTGTCCCTTCTGGGAAGGTGGGCTTACCTGTTATACTCAGATAAGGCCTGGGCGATTACAAGCCCCATTCCCTAGAAGAGAGAAGAGAACACAGGTGAGACAAGAGAGCAGCAGCAGGGGCTGGCGGCAGGCTGTGCCTAGGCAGGCTGAGGAGGAGGCCAGTTACACCGCCCAGTCCAAGGCCACATCCAAGAAACTCTGCTGAAAGCGGGCAACAAGGACGGGGATTGTGAGGCACTGTCAAAGCATAAAAGGAACTTAAGATTTTTCCCATCTAAGTGTCTTACTTTATGTTTCCAGATACAATTAAAATAGGGTAACAAGGGGGGAAAAACATCAGCCCAGACAGACAATTTCACTGAGATCGTTTTCACTTCAAAAGAGAAGAGTTAGAATCGTCGAACGAAAAGCCCTCATTTGAGTGCCCCAAAACAGTCACAAGAAAAATGACAATGAATCCCATGCTAAATGAAGGCTCACGTGAACAAGTCACTTGCCTTCAAGTGTAGGAAAACAGGAATATAAAGGGGAGCAGCAGCCAATAAAAATTAAAGTGACTGGGACCAACAGACGGCATAATGGTTACGTTGCTTAACTCCCACATTGCTGAAGCAGTTCAAATCCTGGACATGGTGGCTTGAAACTCACACCAGGCGTGTGTGCATGCGTGCCCAAAGTCCCAAGAGGAGAACAGAAGAGAAGGGATTGCGGCATGGCCATCCCCCTGGGGGGTGATTTCTTGCTTTCTGTCTCTCTGTCTCTGTCTTTCTGGCGAGGGCACAAGCCCTATAGCAAAAATCCTTAAAAAAAAAAAAAAAAAAAAAAACCTAAAGTGACTTATCACCTTTCCCTTTCTTCCAAAATCTGAGAAGCTTAACACAAAAGTCAATCCAGTCCACGAGGATGAAATCATGTGTGCATTTCTTTCTGTGAGGGAAACTTGACTCTTTCAGGCACCAGTTGGTCACAGTGCATGGGAAGGCAGATCCCACAAAGCCCTCTGTGGTATGAGTCCCAGGCTCAGCAGATTAAAAAAGACACAGAACTGGAGACCAGCAGGTGGCATGGTGGTTAAAGCACTGGACACTCCCATATAACCAACCACAGTTCGAGTTCTGGACCTGGTGGCTTGCTTTTGCACTTACCCTCTCTCTCCCTCTCTCCATCTCTGTATGTCTTGCTCCAGTCAAATTCAAAAAGTGGTAATAAATGAATAAATAAAATTAAATAATTCTTAAAAAAAAAAAAAAGACACAGGGCATGGGACCAGCAGGTACCATGGTGGTCAAGGTGCTGGATTCCCACATAGCTGAAAATGGTTCAAGTCCTGGACTCAACAACTTTAAAATCAAGCCAGGTGCTTGTGTGTGTTGCATGCCCAAAATCCTGAGAGGAGAATGGGGGGACTGTGGCATAGCCATCCCCTCTGCAGGGTGATTTCTCACTTTCTTGCTCTCTGTCTCCTTCTGTCTCTCTCTGATGAGCATACGTTTCCTATGGCAAAAATAAATAATTAATTAATAATAATTAAATTAAAAATAAATCATTTTATAAAATAGATGCAAGGCATGTGTATATACATACCCAAAACCTGCCTGTGACGGAGAAATGGAGGAGGGGGTTGTGGCATAACTCCACTCCACTGGGAGGGTGCTTGCTCTCTCCCTTCCTCCCTCCCTCTTTTGGAGATTGCAAGCACCCTCTTTCAGCAATTTACGAAATAAATAAATAAGGGGAGATGGAAGAAATGAAGAGGGCGGGATGAAATGGGAATGAAGCCGAACACCTAGTCATCTTCCTCCTCCTTACATTCAAAGATCAGAGGTTATTTCCTAAACTTTCAAGAAGATCTATATATATATTGCAGCTATATATCATCCTTCGTGTTTCAGCATCGCCAAGTCAGGCTATAAATATCTGGCTAGTTCTACAAGAAGGAATTTCCCATCATCCAAACACATAAGCTTTCTTACTCTTGGATGTGTAACTGACTGACTGTAGGATAATCGACCTCAGTGCCCTATCACATGAAGGATAGCCAACCACTTTATCCTAAGTAGCAAGCAGATGTGCCCTCATTCCTGTCCCTCATGATGACAGGGCAGAAGACAACAGGACAGCAGCACTGACACTCAGGAACACATACCGATTTCCTCTTCACAGGCAAATGCGATCAGAACAGCTCTCTGCCCCCCATCCTAAGTGCCCACTGGAAGTAAGGCCACTGAGTGCAAGGAAGACCAGGCACAGGACCCAGATACTCACATTGAGGGTGGCCTCATCATCTACAATAGACAGCTTCACAATATAAGGATTCACAGACTGTCAAAACAAGAGAAGAGAGGGAACCAGCAGTTAGCGTAATGGCTATGTCGCTGGCCTCCCACGTAGTCGACCGCGGTTCGTGTCCCGGACCCGGTGGCTTAAAACTCACGCCGGGCGCGTGTGCGTGCGTGCCCAAAATCCCGAGAGGAGAATGGAGGAGAAGGGATTGCGGCGTGACCATCCCCCCTGGGGGGTGATTTCTCGCTTTCTGTCTCTATGTCTCTCTCTGTCTGTCTGGCAAGCGCACGCGCCCTACAGTGAAAATCTCTCCAAAAAAAAAAAAAAAAAGAGAAGAGACACAAAGTAAATGTGACCTAGTGAAGAAGTCCATTAGCTATTTAATAAGGCATTAACAAAAGTACTTCCTTTACAGTTTATTTTATTCATGGGTGTGTGTATGTGCATGTGTGTGTGTGTGCACGTGTGTGTAAGAGAGAGAAGGAGGGAGAGAGAGGAAGGGAGAGAGAAAGGAGAGGGAGAGAGGGAAGGAGATAGAAAGGAGAGGGAGAGAGGGAAGGAGAGAGAAAGGAAGAGAGAGGGGGAGGGAGGAGAAAGAGGGAGGGAGAGAGAGAGAAAGGAGAGACGCGCCCTTGATAGAGCCTCACCATGGCCATGCCGTGATCCCCTTCCCCCAGCCCTCCAGTCCCTCAGAATCCTGGGCTCATGTGCACTTGGCATGCTTTCATGTCAACTGGAGATCTGAACCCACAGTCAGCCATGTGGCTTTCAGCACTGCAGTTCAGTATGCTATTGCCTCTGCCACTGAGGCTGTGCCAACAAGAATGCCTCCTTAAGGCCCTCTTCACAGCAACACTCCTGACGCCCAGTAGTGCCAAGCCATCTTGCCAGCTAAGTGCCCATCTCCATAAGCCTCTCAGTGTATGGGCGTCCGACAAGGGTGCACACAGGTACACAGACACCAGTTCTGCCTGGCCTGCACTGCCCCAGGCCGAGTCAGCTTGGACTCACATCCTTCGCTTCTCCCATCTTTCTATTACTGAGTTCTAAAAAGTAAGTGAGCACTCCGCAAAACTCAGTTTGTCCTATCCTACCACTAATTTACAAGTCCATAGGGATAGCTGTCTTCTGGGGGACATAAGAGGTTCTTTGCCATGAGGCACATATTTATAAGTTCCTAACTTACATTCTCATCCCAAAGGCTTCCTCGCCATTTCACAAACTGTATGCAAGGACTGATTCACCCACCCATAAAACAAAGCCACCTTGGGGGTGGAAAGTGGCAGCTGCTTAACAGCTAGAGAGGCCATTCATGGAGATCTGATACCCAAATAACACTGCAGGGGGAACTGAAAGAAAAAAAAACGATGTAATTACCCAAACAACAATCAGGACACTGGGATTTAATGATTGTCCCATCACTTATAGCATGGGAAGGTTTCTTGACTTGTTCCAGACCCAATCTCAGCTGGGCAGCATATGGAAATGGACATATATTTAAACCCATTAAGCAATTAGACCATCTCCTACAGTGGAATGAGAACCACTGACCTGCTCACCTTGAAAATGTCCCACTCCCACGATGTGAGAAGACCTCATGTAGCACAGGCACCAATTCTAACCCAAGGGAGGCACAGAACAATAGTTCTCAGACTGGCAGTTTTTCCAGCTTCTGAGAAAACTCATTACTGAGAAACTTGAAAACCCAACTGAAAGGCTAACCCCCCACACGGACCTTATTTAATGGAGTTTCTGAGGGCAGCTTTTGCGTGACAATAGGGAACATAGAAAGAGACTTAGCTTTCCTAAGAACCCAACTGTCTGCAAGGCTTCACACAACACAAGGCGAGGCGTAAAGCCCACTCTACTCTTACTTGATCTCACAGGGGAAGCTCTCCACACTCCTTCCTGTACCAACAGTCAAATCCTGCCGAAGCTACAGACTTCAGCCAAACCCAGTGCAGCAGGACCGTGGACCAGGGCATCGGCCGTCAACAGACCCAGACAGCATCGCCATCAGAGCAACAATACAAAGAGCAGATCACTGTTTCGTGGCACAGATTTTGAAAGGCCAAGCCACTCACGTGCCCAAAAGTTATCTTAGGCAGTAATCAGGATTATATGATTGCTAAGACCAGCATATGCTTTGGCAGCACTTGAGGAAAAGGCAAGGTGGCCAAAAGCAAAGGTTTAAGTTCTAGATCGTTATTAACTGTGACCAGTTAGGCACATTAATTAACATAACTTCAATGTCCTTATCTGTAAAATGGGGATATTTTCTCCCCTGGGGTTGCTATAAGATTTAAGTAAGACATGTAAAATCCTTAGCAAAGTATCTGCTATATGGTAAGGGCTTAGTAATTAGGATCTATATTCGTTTCTCCTTTGACATTATTATCACATTTAAAGGAAAGCTTTTTTTTCTTTTTCAGGCTCCTGAAAAGGAAAGCTTAGTAAAACTTTTTATTATTGTTTTAATTATTTTATTATTATTATAGTTTTGTTTTGTTTTAAGTTTGCTATGGGGCACTTGTGCTTACCAGAGACAGAGAAAGAGAGAGACGGGGGAACTGAGAAAGCAAGCCACCAGGTACAGGACTCAAACCATGGTAGGCCATGTGGGAGTCCAGCACCTCAACCATCACACCACCTGCCGGCCCATTATTATTTTAACTTAACCAGAGAGAGACAGAGAGGGAGAGAGGGAAAGTGAGAAAGCAAGTTGCCAGGTCTGGAACTCAAACCACAGTCAGCCATGGAGGAGTCCAGCGCCCCAACCACATCACCTGGCAGCCCCAAAAGGAGAGCTCTTTAAAATGGGGTAGATAAGGAACATCACATCACAACTAGACACAATACACAGTTAATTTCTGGGTAATGCCATGCTCAGGGCAGTGGTTGGGTCTGAAATGTGGCCAGCCTAGAAGGGTATGATCTTAATGGTGTAAAAGTTTCTACTCTAAAGACACTAATTTTCCTTAACACTATGCACCTCGTCATGCAGATCACTTTTTAAAACTGGAGGCAATTTGCTTTTCATCCATGAGACAGAATCACAAACTCAGTGAACTTTCACTAGATTACTTGAATAAAGTCCTGACTTTATTTGATCTAAGTCAAACCATGGTAGGCCATGTGGGAGTCCAGCACCTCAACCATCACACCACCTGCCGGCCCATTATTATTTTAACTTAACCAGAGAGAGACAGAGAGGGAGAGAGGGAAAGTGAGAAAGCAAGTTGCCAGGTCTGGAACTCAAACCACAGTCAGCCATGGAGGAGTCCAGCGCCCCAACCACATCACCTGGCAGCCCCAAAAGGAGAGCTCTTTAAAATGGGGTAGATAAGGAACATCACATCACAACTAGACACAATACACAGTTAATTTCTGGGTAATGCCATGCTCAGGGCAGTGGTTGGGTCTGAAATGTGGCCAGCCTAGAAGGGTATGATCTTAATGGTGTAAAAGTTTCTACTCTAAAGACACTAATTTTCCTTAACACTATGCACCTCGTCATGCAGATCACTTTTTAAAACTGGAGGCAATTTGCTTTTCATCCATGAGACAGAATCACAAACTCAGTGAACTTTCACTAGATTACTTGAATAAAGTCCTGACTTTATTTGATCTAAGCCATATATATTTAAAATTTTCATTGCTCTTCCGTAGACATTTCTTTTTTCTTTCCTTTTCTTCCTCTAGCTCTTTAGATAAAATGACTAAAAAATGGAATGCATTATAAAAAAAGAACTACATATTTACTGGATGACTTCTTTTCTATCACTTTTGTTCCTCAAGTCCAGCACCATATTTGCCTTCTTGGTGTGTGGTTGGGTATTTGGCCTCTCTGGCTCTGCACCTTTCTAGAAAGGCTACAACTTACCCCACTGGTCACGGATTGATTGTGGCAGGACCTAGGCTGCCGTTCTCCCCAGCACACCCTCTCATACTAGTTTACATAAAACTGCACTAGCTTTGGGTTTTGCTACGTTCATGGGGAATCCTTCATGTTCCTGTCAAAAACCTCCCTGCTCCCTGGTCACCAGGCTTCTTTAATGGTTTCCAGTGAGTGACTTATATCGAAAGCTGCGAAGCCCAGATAAATTATGCCCACTAGCTTGCCCTTGCTCACTGTATTAATTCTTCTGGGGGCTTCTGACAGAGTAGAGATGCATACCTCACTCCAGAAATGTGATTTTCTCCAGTTCCTTGGCCATGTCCAATTTTTCAGGCTGACATTTCAGAGTGCCCTACTGGGCTGAGCCAGGGTTCAGTTCACACTTAGAGAAGCCAAGCCACTGCCTCAGAGTCACCTACATCCAGTAGAATGTTCTGAAAATATTCATTACCGATGATGGCGTGTTCCTGTCACATATAACTCACCCTCTCTAACTATTCCCAGCACTTCTCCTCAGCTATTTTTCTTGCTGTTGTAATAAGGCCCTAGAGGCTATTACATATGACAGAGATCAAAATGGCTACTTTGCCAGCCCCTCCAGATCACCAGTAAAACAGGTGTTGGTGATAAATTACATATTTATTAGTAGCTCTACACACCATTCATCAGTTCCCCCAAGACAATGAAAGAGATCAGCTCTTGGGATATAACACATTAACTTCACTCCACACATTCCAGTCCCCTTTAAGTATTCCTTTCTCACAGCCTCCCTTTCTTCCATGTCTCCTTCTGGTAGTAAGCCTTGGAGTTTATGTTATTTATTCACTTTCAGCCTGCCCAAATAAATCCTGACTAGGAAGTGTATCAAAAATCACAAAGTGGTGCTGGCTCTATGACCCAGCAGAAAACAACACTCAAGCCAGGTCCCACATGGCGACTGTGGTTTAAATCCTCAGTCCAGTGGGCCTGAAAACACACCGGGCATGCGCACTATTACCCAAGACCTAATGGGCCGGAGGAGTTGGAGGAAGGGATCATGGCGAGAGCAGACCCTGCACACAGTGCTCATTGCTCTCTCTCAAGTGCCCGTGCATGCTCTAACATGCATAAAGAAAAAGAAAATCTTTTTTAAAAAATCACTAAGGGAAGATACAGAAGCTCAGGAGAGAAGAATCTCGCTCCAGTTATTTTTTTCTTTTTTTCTTTTTTTGGAGAGGTTTTTGCTATAGGACGTGTGCACTCGCCAGAAAGAGAGAAACAGAGACAGAAAGCGAGAAATCACCCCCCAGGGGAGATGGCAACGCCGCAATCCCTTCTCCTCCATTCTCCTCTCAGGATCTTAGGCACGCACGCACACGCGCCAGGCGTGAGTTTAAGCCACCGGGTCCGGGACGCGAACCGCAGTCTACTACGTGGGAGTCCAGCGACATAGCCATTACGCTAACTGCTGGTCCCTCGCTCCAGTTGTGTGTGTGTATATATATGTGTGTGTGTATATGTATGTGTGTATATATGTGTGTGTACACGTACATGTGTGTGGATATATGTGTGTATGTGTGTATATGTATGTATGTGTGTGTGTATGTATGTGATATATCCCCTTGATATCAAGTATGTACATCAATCCAAGTATAAATCTCTGGGTTCTGTTCTTCATCTCAAAAAACTATAAATTTGGGAGCCAGCACGTGGCGTGATTGTTAAAGACACTGGACTCCCACATGGCCGACCGCAGTTTGAGTTCCAGACCTGGCAGCTTGCTTTCTCATTTTCCCTTTCTCTCTCTGTCTCCCTCTGGTCAAATTAAAATAATAGTAAAATAATAACAATATATATATATAAATCTGTATTCTGATTAATTCAGAGGAAAAAGAACTCTGATGTGATATGAATAAAGTCCTGTCTTAATTTTTCATAAAAATCAAAAGAATACCCAGACCAATAGTGATACTGCAGTAGGACATCTAATACAGAAGAGTCCAGTCTTTCTGGGACCAGCAGAGGGCACAGCAGTTGCGTCACTAGACTCCTACATGGCTGACCACAATTCAAGTCCTGGACCCGGGGCTTGAAACTCCCAACAGGCACATGTGAGTGTATGCCCAAAATCCTGAGAGAAGGGACTGCAGTATGGCTATCCCCCTAGGAAGGTGATTTCTTGCTCTCTGTCTCTCTGGCGAGCACACACCCTATAGCAAAAATCTTCTTGAAAAAAACCAGTCTTTCAAGACAGAAGCATTAGGTCAGTGGGTTCCATTCCTGGCTAATCATCACACTCAACAGGGAGTCTCAAAAAAACCAACAAACTCCCAGGCTCCACCCCTGCACCCAGCAGATTCTGATTTACTGTGCCCAGTGTAAGGCCCAGACATTTCTTCATTTTAAAATGTTCCTAGGCAATTCTAGTAAGCTAGGTTTGCAAACAACTACACTAAGGATACTTACTCATTTATTATAAGCTATACAGGATTTCTTTAAACAACTATACCTCTGCCCCATGTGTTTAATACTGGATTTTTAGAATTTAGTTTATCAAATGTATCTATACACCATTTACCAAGAACATGTGTTCTACATTAAGTGAAGTCCTTTAAAAGTGACCACATCTATTATAAAAAGATAACAACTACTCATTAAGGGGCCCATGTACCTCATATTTTCTGTAGTTCACCAGCAAAGCCAAGAGGACGACAGCATCATATCCATGCTCCCTACGACTTGGGGGGTGGGAGAGTATCTGCAAGAAGAACGAGAAATGTATGAGAGTGCCAGCTCTTGGCTCCTGGCATTACAGACAAAAAACAATTTGAGAGGATAGTTTACTAAAAAGAGAAAGAGGGGAGCCAGCAGGTGGCATGGTGATTAAGGTGCTGGACTCTCATGTGGCCAACCACAGTTCAAATCCTAGATTCGGCAGCTTGAAAATCCTGCCAGGCATATCTGCATGCAACCCGAAGTCCTGGAGAAGAATAGAGAAGAGATTGTGGTGTGGCCATCTATCCCTGCGGCAGGGTGACTTCTCACTTTCACTCTCACTGTCTATCTCTGTCTGATTCCAGCGAGCACATGTGCCCTATAGCAAAAACCTGTATTAAAAAAAAAAAAGAAAAGAAAAAGAAGTGACAAGGCAATGGACCTACCTGCAAAATTGCTTCAAATATGCTGTTGATCATTACGTATTCCAGGATAGTATTCTGGCTGATGTTATCTGTCACCTGAAGGCAAAAAAAAAATGGGAGGGGGAGGGAGAGGGACTTACTTCTAAGTCTCTATATGTGCAGGCCCAATAGCCTAGTGTTTAGGGGGAGCTAGATCCAACATGGCTGACCGTGGTTCAAATCCCAGCTCTGGCAGCTTGAAAAATACGCCAGGCATGTATGCATGCATAACCAAAATCCCAACAGAATGGAGAAATAGAGGAGAAAGGTTTGTGACATGACCACCCCAATAGGGGGTTGCATTCTCCCACCACCTCTCTCTAGTGAGTACACCTGCCCTCTGACCATTAAAAAAATTTTTTTTATTATGATATAGGGCATGTGAGGCTCACCAGATACACACAGAAAGAGAGAAGGAAAGTGAGAAAGCACCCCCCAGGGGATAGTCATGATAAAATCCATTCTCATTCATTCTACTCTCAGGATTTCTCAAGTCACTAGTTTGATTCCAATCACGCAGCTGGCGATGTCAGATCCACCTGCCTTAATCATCATGCTGTCGGCTGGCCCTAAATGTTTTGTTTTTTGGGGGCTTTTTTTTTAAAGATTTTTTGCTATAGGGTACACATGCTCACCAGAGAAAGAGAGAGACAAAGAGACAGGAAGAAAGAAGTCACCTCTGGAAAAGGAGCAGAAGAAAAAAAGCCCCTTGGGGGGGGGGGGGGATAGCCACACTGCAATTCCTTTTCCTCTATTTGCCTCTTGGGATTTTGAGAATGCATGCGCACACACCCACGCCCGGCGTATGTTTTAAGCCTCTGGGTCTGGGACTCAAATTGCAGTCGACTATGTGGAAGTCCAGGAACGTAACCATTACACCATCTACTGGCCCCCTTAAATTTTTTTAAAAAGTCTGTACTGGGGAACCGGCAGTTAGCGTAATGGCTATGTCGCTGGACTCCCATGTAGTCGACTGCAATTCGCGTCCCGGATCCGGTGGCTTAGAACTCACGCCAGGCACATGTGCGTGCGTGCCCAAGATCCCGAGAGGAGAATGGAGGAGAGGGGATTGCAGCATGACCATCCCCCCTGGGGGGTGATTTCTCGCTTTCTGTCTCTATGTCTCTGTCTGTCTGGCGAGCGCACGCGCCCTGTAGTGAAAACCTCTCCAAAAAAAAAAGTCTGTACTTATGCCATGTATCTCATAGGCATCTTCTCCTCTGACATCTAAGAGAAACGATGTTAAAACATTCTACTACTTACTAGTCCTTTCACAAGAACTCCCAAAAGCCACCAGCACATTAAGAATAAGAAATTAGCAAATTAGGGTCAGCTGCTGGTGTAGTGGTTGGGGCAGCTGGATTCCTCATGGCTGACTGCGTGATTATTCAAGTTCCAGACCCACAGCATGAAAAATATACCAAATCAACGTGCATGCATATGCAAAATCCTGAGAAGAGAACGGAGGAGAAAGGATCGTGGCATGGCCATCCTCCGTGGGGAGTGTTCCCTCACTTTCCCTCTCTTTCTGTTTCTCTCCAGCACATGCAAACATGTGACCAGTATATTTCTAGAGCCACCAGGTCTGGGACTTGAACCACATGGTCAGCCATATAGGATCCAGCCACCTTAACCACCACACCACAGGCTGGCCTAAAAATAAATCTTTTAAAAGCATTTTAAACCTCCTAAATCTTTGAATTTCTCATAGTTCCTCTCACACTATCACACAAGCATTTGCTTAACATTTTCTTGAGTTGCATTCCTCAAAAGCACAGGAAAAAGTTTATGAATCTGCAAGTCTTCAAGAGGTGGCAGAGAGGGAACCAGCAGTTAGCGTAATGGCTATGTCGCTGGACTCCCACGAAGTCAACCGCGGTTCGCGTCCCGGACCCGGTGGCTTAAAACTCACACCGGGTGCGTGTGCATGCGTGCCCAAGATCCCGAGAGAGAATGGAGGAAAAGGGATTGCAAAGTGACTATCCCCCCTGGGGGTGATTTCTCGCTTTCTGTCTCTATGTCTCTCTCTCTCTGTCTGTCTGGTAAGTACACGCGCCCTATAGCGAAAAACTTTCCAAAAAAAAAAAAAAGAGGTGGCAGAGAAAGGGAACCACGTGGGGGGCCAGCAGGTGGCATGGTGGTTGAGGGTGCTGCACTCCCACATGGCCAATTGCAGTTTGAGTCCCAAGCCTGGCAATTTGCTTTCTCACTTTCTTTGTCTCTCTCTCTCTCTGTCCCTCTCTGGTCAAATTAAAAACAAATAAAATAAACAAATAAACAAAGTTAAATAATTTTAAAAAGAAAGAAAGGGAACCACCTGAATTACTAAACAACACCCCACTCTTTTCCACGATAGAGAGTAGGCCATTTTCACTAATAAAGTCAAACCCAGATAAAAATATTTGGAATCATGAGAACGATTTCCAAATAAGTCCTGATGAAAAGGACAAATCTGACAATCTGGAAGACAAGGAGCTCTCCTAGAGTGCGAGTAGTACTTTCACGGTGACAAATATCACATAGCCCGCAGGCTCAAAATGCCAGCAGTCGCTCCAAAGAGCAGCTTCGAGGAAGCAAAAGCCCATGTTGGGATCAGCAGCTGGCGGAACGGCTATGTCGCTGGAGTCCCGCGTAGTTGATCGCAGAGTCCCGGACCCCGTGGTTTAAACTCATGCCAAGTGCGTGTGCATTTGTGCCCAAGATCCCGAGAGGGGAATGGAGGAGAAGGGATTACAGCATGGCCATCCCCACCCCACCCCCGCCAGGGTGATTTCTCACTTTCTGTTCTCTGTCTCTCTGTCTTTCTGGCGAGTGCATGTGCCCTACAGCAAAACCCTCTCAAAAAAAAAAAAAAAAACCTGTGCAACTACTTTCTTCACTGTGCAACTACTTTCTTCTATACACTCAAGCACAAGGAGGTGATACAATAACCTACTGGACAATCTCTTCTATACACTCAAGCACAAGGAGGTGATACAATAACCTACTGGACAATCTCTTCTCTTTTCCTCAAGGATACAAATAAGCTTGCCCCTGCTGTCATTACTCTTGACAAAGAAGCAGACATGGATCACTTACAGTCACCAAGCAAAGGAGCAGTTTCAGACATAAACTCTTCAGACTTTCAGAACCTTCTGCACAGAGCAACGAGTCCAAACTCTCCATTAAATTCTGAGAAAAGAATTGTTAAGCATTAAACCGTATCAAATAACATCTACACCCCAACTTTATCATCTCTGAGTTATGTTACATAGGATAATGTGAATACAGTGAACCAATCACGTCATTTCCCTAGGCTCAAGCCTTCCAAAATTAGACGAAGAAAAGGAAGACTTCAAAGTCTAGTGCTTTTGGGGAAAATGCGTTAGAATAATGGCACAGAACAAAATATTCACTACTTTACCAAAAGACTGTTTAACCCTATCATCTACATATAAATTTACAGATTAAAATGAGGTAATTTGGGGGCTGACAGGTGGCGTGATGGTTAAGGGCGACAGACTCCCACAAGGCTGACTGCAGTCCAGAACTTTCTCTCTGTCCCTCTCTGTCAAATTGGGAAGGGAAGGGGAGGGGGAGGAAAAGAGAGAGAGGGGAAGGAAAGAGAAAGGAAGGAAAGAGAAAGTGAGAAAGAAAGAAAAAAATAATTCTTATAACAAAACAATGAAGTAATTTTAAAATGGGGGGGAGGCAGCAACAGGTAGCATGGTGGTTAAGGTGTTGGATTCCCATATGGCCAACCACAGGTCGAGTCCCAGACTGGGCAGCTTGAAAATCACACCAGGCAAGTGTGTGTGCATGCCCAAAATCCCAAGAGGAGAATGGAGGAAAAGGGATTACAGGCCATCTGCCCTGAGAGGTGATTTCTCACTTCATCTCTCTGGGAGGTGCATGTGCCTATGGCAAAAACCTTAAAAAAATTTTTTAAATAGAATGGGAGGGGAGAGCAGGCAGAGGCACAGTGGTAAAACGCAATGCTCTGAGGCTGACCCACATGGGAAGATTCTGGATTCACATCCACAGACCTCCCTGTGTACACTGGGCTTGCACATGCCCATGATCCAGAGTTGGCTGAGGCAGGAGTGGATAGCAACATCAAAACCCTGCTGGGATGCTGATTCTCCCTCTCTCTCCTCTCTCTCATTTACAGAAGAAATAAATAAGAACTTTTTTTTAATAATTATTTTATTTAACCTCATTTATTTATTTGCTTATTTCAATTTGACCAACAAGGGACAGAGTGTGTGTGTGTGAGAGAGAGAGAGAGAGAGTGAGCAACAGCTGCCAGGTCCAAGATTCAAACCATGGTCGGCTATGTGGGAATCCAGCATCCCCAACCACCACGCCACTTGCCGACCCCAAGAACATTTTTTTTTAAAAGAAAAAAAAAGGATCAGCCCACAGCCTAGTGGTCAAGGAAGCTGGATTCCACATGGTGAATGCCCAGTTTGAATCCCAGCCCTAGCAACTTGATAAACATGCTGGGCACACGTATGTGCATGACCCAGATCCCAACAAGGTAGAGAAACAGAAGGAATCGCAGCATACCCATGCTCTACTGAGGGATGCTTTCTCTCTGTCTCCCTCTCCGTTCTCTGTCTCTCTCTGGTCAATGCATGTGCCCTCTGGCATAGGCAGACAGACACATAAATAGAGAGGTAAATGTACATATATACATATAAAATATAAATACATATATATAAGATATAAATACATACACATATATATGTATGTACACACACACACACACATATATATATATATAAATTAGTTAAGAAGAAGTAAATTTTAAAAGAGGAGACTATACAGTGATGCAGTGATAAAATGCAATGCTCTGTGAGGCTGACCTACATGAGAAGATTCCAGAGTCCCATGATTCCCAAAGATTTCCCTGTGTACACTGAGCATACACAGGCCCATGGCCCAGAGTTAGCTGAAGCAGGGGTGGGTCATAGCAGCAAGACCTTGATGGGATGCTTTCTCTCTCTCTCTCTCTCTCTCTCATGTATGCATGCATGCTTATGGGAGAAATAATTAAAAAAAAAAATAGAAAAAGAAAAAGAAGGACGGGCTCCATGGCCCAGTGGTAAAGTAAGCCAGATCCCACATGGCCAACAGCAGAGTTGAAATCCTGGCCCTGGCAGTGTGAAACACATGCCCCAAATCCCAACAGGATGGAGAAATGAATGAGAAGCAACTGTGGCATGAGCATGGCCCGCTGCAAGGGTGCTTTCGCCCTCTCCCTCCCTCTCTCTTTCTCTGCCTCTCTCTGATAAGTATACATACACTCTCATGAAAACACGGAAGGGAGAAAGGGGAAGAAAAAGAGAACAAGGAAAGGAAAGAAGGAAGGAAGGAAGGAAGGAAGGGAGAAGGAAAAGAAAAGGGAGATCATAATACACATTTGGAAGTGTAGACCTCACCTTGGGCTCACCTCTAGTAATAGACCAAAAAGCAATCTCTAATCTCTTCCTAGGATTTTCCAGGAACATGAAAAACAGACTCAGAGTTGAGAGTTATTTCCAACATTAGCCATGTATTGTGGCTTTCAGTGTTCAAGTTTATCCTTTTAAAAAAAAATATTTCTAAGTGAATAATTGGCTTAAGAGGCCAACTCCAAGGACTCAAGGCAGCCAGATCCCACATGGCAGACTGCACTGTTCAAGTCCTGGATCTGGCTTGAGAAACTTGTGAGGTGTGTATAAAGGTATACCCAAAATCTCAAAAGGAAGGAGAGGTGGAGGGGAAGGGATTGCAGCATGACTATCACCCAGTTGGGGTGCTTTCTCACTTTCCCTTTTCTTTTCTCTTCAGTGAATGAACATGTCTTTTGGCAAAGTTAAAAAAAGAAAAGAAATATAATTTATTTTAGTATATTCATCTTATATCCTGTTACTTTCCTGAATTTGTTTTTTAGTACTAGTAGTTTATAGCCAATTCCTAGTGATTTCCTAAAAACTGAGTCATAACATCCACAAATAAAGGTATCTGGTTGTATTTCTTTTTAATATAAATGCCTTTTATTTATTTCTGTAGTGA